ATCCTATAGGGACCGCGGAACCAAATGATTTTCCATAGACGATAGTGTTAACGTTTACCCCTGTCCTGGTTAAATGGGGTTATCCACACTGGTTTACCTGACCTCATTTTGAAGAATAGCATCTCACACAACTGTAAAAAAAATATTTCAAAATTCTGCCAATTTGAACTTTTTTTATATGGGGGCTGCCATCTTGTATTGAATTCGGCACTAAAAATCGAACAAAATTTACAGCAAATTACACACTTAATAAACTCACCCAGACAAAACCAGACTTGAATTTTTTTTTTAATTTTTTTATACATATTAAATCTATATATATTGCTCAACCCACACATAAAACTTTTGAAACTTCTGCCACCTTAATATCCAACCAGCAGGCCCCGAGGCATTCACCTTTCTATTAAATCTTCTGCCCAAAAGGGAAAAACCCACAATCTATTTTTGATTTGGTTCCGTGGTCCCTATAGGATCCCACATATTTTTCAAATTTACCATTTTTGGAAACAGTCAGGACCATAGGGTATGAAACCAAAATGGGAAGTGGCTGGCTCCAAGGCTTGGGCTGCTAGGTCAAGTCTTCTACCGGTACTGAAGATGGAGATTCCTGCAAAAAAAGGCAGGAAAATTGAACCAGTTTCAAAATGTAAACTTGAATATCTTAATAAATATTATACTTAGACTTATGGTTTTGAGTTTTTATTAAAGTACAGGTACTGTTCTACCCAGAAATATAAACAACAAACATTTTGTCTGAAGATCAGGGGAGATAACTCAATTTTGAGACCCATACCCCCTTAATTTTGGACTTTTTGTAAAAAATTGAAGACACCAGCAATTATTTAGAGAAAAGAGTCAAAAACAGACACAAAAGTAAAGACTAATAACTGTACAAACAGTACAACACCACAATGATAGGATTACATAATGTTTACATAACAGCAGCTGAGATGAAAGACAGTGATAGGAGAGGACTGCACAAGGTGTAAGGGAGGTAATCGGGAAGTGCTGCTAAGGTGTGCATTGTGAGTGCAGGACCAAATCACTAGTGTGTGCAGGGAAGAAAAGAAATAACTTGCTAACAGACAACGTATACTTACCAAGTGATTTTAAGGTCAGCGGTGGAGAGGCAACTGTGTCAAAAATTCTGATGGAGAAAGTTAAGGCCTGTCTCGGTGACTCCTTGTTGGAAATGAACCTGATGACCCTGTCGACCCAAAAGGTAGAATCTGTGAACAGACGGCTGAAGCAGTCTCTCGCATCATGTGTGAAATTTACTTGTAACTTTTCAGGGATAGCTCATAGGGCGGTGTATCCTGTGAACCATGGGCCGGGAACTGCTATTAAAGAACTGTGTAGAAGGGTTGTGTCTCCAATTACTGCTGGGAGCTCTGTGTCCAAGGACCTGGATAAAGAACAATAAAGACATCATTGTGGTGTAAAATTCAAAAGAGAAATAAGAAGAAATTTATGTGAAAGACAGAGTTATGATTGAGAAAAGAAATGAAACATTAAAATACTGAGAACTTAAAAAAAAATGGTCTTTGTTATTTTTTAATATATATCTTACAAGAAAGAAAGAGAGAAAGAACGAAAGAAAGACAGACAGACAGACAGACAGACAGACACACAGACACACAGACAGACACACAGACAGACAGACACACACACACAGACACACACACAGACAGAAAGAAAGATAAATATATATATATAGATTATAAATTAAAAAATATATAGGTTCATATCAGAGATGACTGACCTCCAAAATCATGACGTCACAGTCCTCCTCGGGAAATCCTCCTTCAGCAATCTGTAATGTACCATCAGTGACAGTCAGAGCACTCTCTGTGTTATTCTGTGTCCATTTGGCCATCTAACCACAATAAGCCCATATCCTCCCTGGTCCATGGGCCACCTCCACGCTCTATATGGGTGTATATTTCCATCATAATATCCTCCTGCAGCTAATTTTCCCTCTAAATTCTGGCTAAACACATCCATGATTAGATTCACAACCAGAAATATGCTGGTTGGTCCCATCATCTGGTTTCCAGGGACGCTTGAATGGTGTAAAACGTCATATCCTATAGGGACCGCGGAACCAAATGATTTTCCATAGACGATAGTGTTAACGTTTACCCCTGTCCTGGTTAAATGGGGTTATCCACACTGGTTTACCTGACCTCATTTTGAAGAATAGCATCTCACACAACTGTAAAAAAAATATTTCAAAATTCTGCCAATTTGAACTTTTTTTATATGGGGGCTGCCATCTTGTATTGAATTCGGCACTAAAAATCGAACAAAATTTACAGCAAATTACACACTTAATAAACTCACCCAGACAAAACCAGACTTGAATTTTTTTTTTAATTTTTTTATACATATTAAATCTATATATATTGCTCAACCCACACATAAAACTTTTGAAACTTCTGCCACCTTAATATCCAACCAGCAGGCCCCGAGGCATTCACCTTTCTATTAAATCTTCTGCCCAAAAGGGAAAAACCCACAATCTATTTTTGATTTGGTTCCGTGGTCCCTATAGGATCCCACATATTTTTCAAATTTACCATTTTTGGAAACAGTCAGGACCATAGGGTATGAAACCAAAATGGGAAGTGGCTGGCTCCAAGGCTTGGGCTGCTAGGTCAAGTCTTCTACCGGTACTGAAGATGGAGATTCCTGCAAAAAAAGGCAGGAAAATTGAACCAGTTTCAAAATGTAAACTTGAATATCTTAATAAATATTATACTTAGACTTATGGTTTTGAGTTTTTATTAAAGTACAGGTACTGTTCTACCCAGAAATATAAACAACAAACATTTTGTCTGAAGATCAGGGGAGATAACTCAATTTTGAGACCCATACCCCCTTAATTTTGGACTTTTTGTAAAAAATTGAAGACACCAGCAATTATTTAGAGAAAAGAGTCAAAAACAGACACAAAAGTAAAGACTAATAACTGTACAAACAGTACNCCAAAGAGGCAATTACACAAGCGTAGCCTGCCTCAGGCACACAAACACACATGCACGCATACATAACGCACATGGAGGCACGTCCTAAAATGACGTAAGCTGTTAATAGGACGTTAAACCAAACAAACATCTAGGGTTATTTTTTTTCTGGAATGATGGCAATTGGGTTAAACCTGTAAATTACAATATTAATACAGTCTCTGCAAGAATCAATATTCCCTTAAATTCAAACGTGACCGAAACACTTTACAAACTATTTACTACTTATGTATAAGACCTTTCACTGAACAAGATGACGTAGTGAGGAACAACATGGCTGACGAACATAGTGCTATACACGAACATATCCATACTGAGGCAGTAATGAGTGTATCTGGTGCAACCAAACTTACTAGCATCATAGATAAACTGTATACAGAAGTAGGCTGGGACAATTTATTGAACGGCGACAACAGCATTATTCTTTTTCACAAAATATTCTTGCAAAATACTACAGAATATTGCAGTACCTGCTTGTGGGACACGAGGGTGAATATGTATAGTCATCATACTAGACACTCGGATGTTACAACCATTGCACCCATTCTTGTCAATCTAATATGTATCACATATTTGTCTTATCCTATACTGTCAATGGCTTTAGCAATATTTCATTTAGTATCAGGAGAAACCCGTCCTTTTTATAATTTAATTCATATTTCAAACACAACAACAAATCACTGCTCGTATAGGGGTCACGATTGTGGTAAATTTATCATGCTAGGCCTGTATGCACGAAAAATATCATTAAATCAACTCTTTGTGCATGCGGTAGCATTGAAAACGCAGTCCGCTATCTGCTTGAATGTACCTTATACACGGCCATCAGCAAATTACACATCGAACCTTTTCCATATTGTATAACTGTCAACTCCTTATATGGCGATGAATTGTTGTCATGATCAGGAGTTTATCCTTAAGGCAATTCAACAAAACTTAAGGAACTAAACTGCAGAATAATATTGATTTAACAACAAGATACAATAAATTACATAAGACAAATATCACAGCAAGGTAATAAAACATATTAACACATATTACTATCGCTAAGGGATGAGAAAATGTTCAAACAAAGTAACTAAAGGTCCGTAGATAAAAGCTGCACAAATTTCATGCAGATAGGGTGAGATATTAAAAGCACATGGCTGTACATGTATACATGCTAATACAACAAAGTGTAAGAATTGATCGAATGAACACTTATATAGTACAATCTAAAATACATACAGAGAGTATTAAGCATAATAAAGGAAATGTGAAGATAATTTTAAGAGGAATAATTGAAACATAAGATGAGAAAAAGACTATGTATTCAAGAGTAATCTATTCAAGATCGCATGTTTCACTATTTTACAAAGAACTTGTAAAATTAATCAAATCACCCAAGCACAAAAGTATTCTCGTGGTCGGTTCAGTTTTACCGGACCATGATGCGCGTGATTTAATCCCTGCGAACAACTTCTGATCGGAACAACCGCGAAAATTAAGCCACTGAAAATTAAAATCTATACAGTATTCGAAAAGGTCTATTAAAAAATAAAAAGTATTAATCCCTATAATGAGTCACTTATGTAACGGTGATACGGGAAGATAGTTTACGAATGTTTATTTTAAGTCTAGTTTATATTTAACAAATATAGAAATTTATAAACACATTAGTATTCTGTTTGTTTCGCTTTTTTGACGTGAGAGTTAATAATGATTTCCGTCAAATGTGTCCTATTTTCTGTGATTCATATCTCTTACTTACAATGCATCTCAGAATGAATAATTCAAATGTATTTCTTTTTGTTCCAAGACCTATTTACACACCATATACACCATTATACCCCTACGCATAAACGCCATGTTGGTCCCTGTGTAGTATAACATATAGAGAGATAGTTAGATAGATAGATATATTGAAGATATCATTGTTAAAATTAATATAAAAAAATGGTATAATTCGAATGTTTTCCATTTTAGGAGCGATGCGTGTACAAGTCGAACCGTGTTGCAGAGTTGCTGTTGTTTATTCCGTGGTCTCCATAGCGATCATCGTCGGAATATTTCTCTACCGACAGCAGATTGATTCAAAAACAATCAAAGTGAGAGTAAGTGGAACACCCTTCCTTAAAATGCAGCCATCATATAACAAACGTTCATCACATGAAGCATTCGGAAATATGACAAAAACAGCAGGAACTCAAGCAAAAAACATTTATTTCTACAATCCCCAGTTTTATCACGTGTTTACTGACTGGATTTTAGATACCTGGGGTACGTCAAAGAAATTTGAGAGATGTCCCGTCTCTGATTGTATTGTCACAAAAGGGGAGGTCCCTATGGAACAAATTGATGCGATTATTTTTAAGCCAAGAGATATGTCCGACTGTCCACCAAACAAACCCCCTGGTCAAGTGTGGATATTTGCTGAATTTGAAACACCACACTACTATTTTCAAAGTAAGTGCTTTTACGAACTAAAAAATAAAATTAACTGGACGATGACGTATCGGCGTGATGCTGATTTCCCTATTGCACATGGTTATTTCAGGAAAAGCGACAAACCAAAATACACCCAGAAGGATCTGGACGATATTTATGCTAAGAAAAACAAAACAGCTGTGGTTTTCATAAGTCATTGTCCCACTGTTGGCAAACGGTTGACATTTATCGAACTGTTGCGGTCGCATGGTATACAGGTGGACATTTTTGGTTCATGTGGAGTTATGTCAGTAGAGTGCAATAACGAAGACCGCTACTTGTTGTCCTTCAACGTATCAGGGATAGTAAAACCCGATTGCTTCAGCACTGTTCTGTCACAGTACAAGTTTTTCCTGTCGTTAGAAAATTCCCTCTGCATGGATTATACCACAGAAAAATCCCTTCATCGTGTTATGCGCCACCCTATTCTGCCGGTGATTCGAGATGGGAGCAACGCCACCATCTTTCATCCTCCTCATTCTTATATCTACACGGGCGATTTCAAATCTGTACAGGAACTAGCTCAACACATGAAGATGTTGGATGGCAACAAGACCGCGTATTTGGAATATTTTAAGTGGAAACAACATTACCATACTGAAGATATGTACCAGGAATGGAATTCAGCATTTTGCAGATTATGTGAAAGACTGCACAACCCTGAAGACTACAGGCGTGTTTATCGTGATATCGCAGCTTGGCACATATCACCCAGAGGCAAACATGCATGCCATGCACCTACGGATCTCTAATAGTAAACTTAAGAAGTTTGGTTTGAGAGACCAGGTTAAATACATTGATTATCTAAATTAACATAATAAACGATTAGTAAAGAAAAATGCACCCCGTACATAGAAACAGGAGACCTACTGGGTATTTAGTTAAGGTTGGAAGGACGTGAACAATACGATCGCAGAAACGCCTTGCGTTTTTAGAAAGTTTCTCTATCAGCCGATCAACTCCTGAACACAAATTTGTCGTAGAAATAAATAAAAATGGAAGTCATCGGGAGGATCAGTACTTGTGATCATGCCCGCTAACAAACTCTTTTTTAAACAAATAATGAAAATGTCTCTAAGATATCCAGGAAGGACCCCGTGCCAATGCAGATTAGTTTCAATATTTGAGAATATTTTATAAATATTAATGGTGGACTTGACCATAGAATTGGAATCATTTGAGGTACGCCCATATCTCGATATTTGTATACAGATAGTAAAAATCACTGACAATGGAACCTTGCAATATAAACTCTTCCATATAGATATTCTCATTTTTCAAATTAACATAGGTTGATCAAAATGATATCGCTAAGGCGACAGCAATGAATCGTCTAGGGACGGAAGAGAACGTTATTGACGTTTTATAAACGGCGTACATGGCAATATAAAAATGCTGATTATAAATACGTCAATAACTTAATAAATATAAACTTTATTTATTTCACAACAATTCATTTTTATACAAGTTATGTTAACTTATATAAATCACTCTTGTTGGCTCTGATGTTAGCGCGCGGGGGGTCTTAGTGTGGGAGGAAATAACTTAAATGCCCCAGTAAGAATAATGTAACAAAAGTCACAGTATATGAATAATGTCAAGCATTTAAGATAAATTAAAAAGCTCACGTGCTTCAGTATTATGCTCCGAGTCTAGTTTCATTTTCTTATGTTAATGTACTGTCAAAAATGTTTGCATACTTACTTCTTAAAAAGAAGTTTTCGTTTTCCTAATTCCTATATTTTGTCACAATATTCTCTGCTGGACGAAACCTGTACTTATTGTTTGTGTGTGATGGTATCCAGCAGTAGAGTCCTCCTGGTATGAGCCTGAGTATCCACTGTCCGAAACCATGCTATTTTTAGTCGTCTGTGCGTCCGTCGTCCGTCAGTCCGTCCGTACGTCAAACGACCTCTTCTTTTTAACCACTAGTTGGAATTTGACTAAATTTGACTGGAAACATCCCTAGGTAGTGGGGATTCAAAATTGTATAAATAGTGGGACTGAATCCCAAGGAGGCTGAGGGCCGGGGCCGAAAGAGGGCAGTTTGGCTATATTGCTTTAAGCGACTTCTTCTGTGGAACTAAGAGAATGACATCAACCAAATTTGACTGGAAGCATCCCTAGGTAGTGGGGATTCAAAATTGCATAAATTGTGGGCCTGACCCCTAGTGGCTAAGGGGCGAGGCCAAAAGGGGGCAATTTGGCTATATTGCTATGAACAACTTCTTATGTAGAACCTTGGACTGGATAATGATCATATTTGGTTGGAAGCATTCATGAGAGGTAGTGATTCAAAATTGTTCAAATGGTGGGGCTGACCCCCACTGGGCTTACGGGTGGGTCCAGAAAGGTCTATTTTGCTACATTGCTTTAAGCGACTTCTCTAGATCTGGAACCAAAAGATGAATATCAACCATATTTGACTGGAAGCATCCCTAGGTAGTGGGGATTCAAAAGTATACAAATGGTTGGGACATCCCTCAGAGGGATGAGGGGCAGGTCCAAAAGGGGGCAATTTGGCTTTATTGCTATAATCGACTTATTCTGTAGAAATATGCACTGGATATAAATTATGTTTGGTCGGAAGCATTCAGGTGGGGATTCAAAATTGTTCAAATAGTGGGGCTGACCCCCTGGGCCAAAGGGTGGGGCCAAAATAGTTTTATTACTGGAAATAGTTGGGATCCCAACCCCAAAACTATATATACAACTGGTGAGTAAACAAAGAAGAATGCACATATACTTCCAGGATGGCCCCGGGGTCTGGCTTCACCCTTGGAGACTTAACCCCTGGGTCATAACTTCGAAACTGTTGAGATCCCCTCCCCTAAACTATATATACAATTTATGGGCATAATGCTGTCATTATATTATAATTGACCCCAGGATCTGCCCCTCCTTTGCAAGCTTAACCCCTGGGTCATAACTTTGAAACGGTTGAGATCCCCACCCCAAAACTATATACAATATACAATTGTTGGGCATAAAGAGACAAATGCTGTCATAATATTAGAAACGACCCTTGGATCTGCCCCACCCTTGCAAACTTAACCCCTGGTTCATAACTTTGAAACGGTTGAGATCCCCACCCCAAAACTATGTATACAAATGCTGGACATAAAGAGACAAGTGCTGTCATGATATTAGAGAATTGACCCTGGGGTCTGGCCACAACCCTAGGGACCTAGTTTCGTAGTCACAGCTTGGAAACAGTTGAGATCCCCACCCCATAACCATACATAAACATGACAAATCTAATACAGATATGTTACAAGGTTTGGCCTTAGGGTCTGGCCCATTCCCTTGGATCTTATAAGGAGAATATTTTGCCATGATTGCTTAGATATCCATGTGAGCGATGTGTATCTTATGTGTATAGCTAATTGTTTTCGGATATTTCAAGATCAACTGATGTGTAACTCTCTGCTTTTCCAGTGAGGCTAGAAGTTGGTTGGTTGTAACTACAGTAATTTTGTTGTTTTTAAGTTCATGAAAAAGTTCATTTCTTGCCCCTGTATGTTCAGAGCAGTAGAAGGAGATATGATCTATTGTTTCTTCACCATCGCAGAATGAACATTTTGAAGATTTATTTTTCAACATACTATCAATGTTAGCGTTCAATTTGTTTTTTCCTAATCTTAGCCTTGTAATTATGACATCATCTAGTTTATTGTATCCGTACAATTTTATTTTCTTAATTGGTATGTCTATAATTTGTCGAAGGTTATTATGTATGCTATAATTATTCCAGATGTTTCTGGTCTATAGATTTGGTAAATAAGGAATAAACGTCCGTTTTAGTGAGTTTGACGTCTATATCTATTTCATTATGTGTCTGCTCTTTCATTACCAGGGCTATCTACATGTGATGGAATGTATGCAAATTCAATGGAAATACCTTGTTCTTCAAATAGTTGTATAGAGCTTAGTATTGAATTTAGAGTGACGGGCTTGGTACTATTTCTGGTTTCTATAGATTGAATGTCCGAAAGACTATCTGAAAGGATTACTGCCCCGTTTGGCTTAGTTTGGTCAATGACACGTAACGCTAACCCTATCGCTATTAGCCCACTAGAGTATACAGAACAGTTGTCCGATAATCTTATTGAGATGTTGATATTATCGTCAGGGGAGAAAACTCCCAAAGCTACTCTATGGGTTATTGTATTTTTAGAACCATCAGTATAGTATTTAGAACAATTTTGATATTTATCTTCTATTATTGCTAGTGATAATGCCTTTGCTCATACTGGATTGGCTTTCGGGTTCACTTAGTAACCATGGTGTTAAAGGATTTTGAAATTTTTCATCCATTTGAATTTTATCTAATTTATGTTCTTTTATTAGACCATTTACCTGATGAACGTATGCAGGCTTTTTGTGTTGTTTTAGTATATTTCTGTATATGGTTTAGTAGCTTTGGCTACTAATTGATAAGGCGGGAAGTCAGGTCCTAATGATTCCGTCCTATCGAAATTATATCATTAGATAGCCGTTTTGCGCAATCGTTTAGCATGTGATGAACCCTTTTTGTGGGATTTTGAATTTGTATGAGATTGATATGTAGGTTTTTATGATTATTGATGAACCATAAGGCCAATGCCGTGATATTTTTCAGCACGCATTGGAAGCTACGATAAGGCTGATAGGGATACGTATAAAGCTGGCAGGTTAATGTTGTATTTTTGTATTGTAGGAAGTTTTATTGGGTTACTCTATAACTTTAAATCACATGGTCATATGACGCAACATGTTGATACTGTTAGATAATAGAGTTAGTTGAGTATAACCACTAAATCGCACAATGTCTTGTGTGTCCATTTATTGTTAAAGTATCAGTTAATGTATCAGTTAATGTATCAGTATGATGTTGTTTGAAATCATGAGCTTGACAGAATGTTGATATAATAGAGACTTGTGCTGGTGATAACCTACATGTATGATTATGAATAATTACATTTTTATTATTTCTTCAATTACATTTTATTTTCTCTCGCACCAATGTTAAAATTATTATGGTACAATTTTGTTTTGTCGGGCGGAATGTTGTATGCATGGTATGTGATGGGTGAGAGAGACAATGATGTAATGTATGGTCGAAGGGAGATAAGTTTGTAACTGTTTTTAGGAACTCTCCTAAAGGAGGTGAATTCGGGCTCTTCTGTAATAAAGATTGAAGAAGACAGATGCTTTTGTTACACATTTTCACACAGCCAAGCAGTAATACATAACATCGTGAAGCGTCTTCAAACTATATCTCTAAAATTAATCTAAAACAAAGTAAGCGACATCAGACGATATGTTATTCATATGACTATAACACATTTTATACCAAATTTCAGTTTGATATTTGAAAAATTGACCGAGTTACCGTGAGGTAAAATTTTACGATGTACAAGTATGAAGATTTACAGCGTATCACACATGTGTACACACATATAAAAAAGGACTTCACATAACTGAACACGGCCAGCCCGTATTAAATTGCTGTGTAAACACTGGTATAACTTTTAGTTTTTCTTGTTATTTGTTGATTTCCTCATCAGATGATTTTTTTTATTCAGTTCCATGGATGATTTTTTTTTCAGTT